TGGTTTCATTTGGTTTTGGTGCCAAGATGGAACTCAGGACCTCATACACATTCATTCCATGCTGTACAACTGAGGTATGTATTCAGCCCCATGTTAGGAGATATTTCAAGAAAATTCTGTCCAAAAGCAACAATCTAGGCAGTGCAGCTGCAGAAACTATTTATCTATAAACTTGAGGCATGTGGCATGGTAGAGCACTTGCCTAGCATGCACAGTGCTGTGGCTTGATGCACAGAACCACATAAACGCACAAAAATACTACATATACTATGTATATATGTAATACAATATATAATATGTACTGTATACATGTGCATATACGTATTTAATATAGTGTATATATGTGAGTTTGTAAAGCAGACTTTTTACTTGATTAAATATCATTCCAAATAAATTACTGTTGCTTTTCTAACAGTAAAGCAGGGTGTAGAAATGTTGCTTTAAGCAGAGGCAGAAGAAAAACTTTCCATGTTGCTCACATGACTTTCATCAGCATCTGTAAACTTAAAGGCTCTTGAAATTGTCTGTCTAAATCGCAGGTGCAACCAAAGGCTGGCTTTCAGAAGCTCTTTCCCAGAGACACCACACACCATCTTCTGGGCACAAGTGTTATAAATGCAGTCACGGCAGGCACAGGGAAGGTCACAGGGGTGACCCATCAAACCTGGATGGCAAATGGCCTTGGTCTCATCTGTGATGCACACACACTGCGGATTGCGTTTACCGAGCGGCCCCAGCCTCGCCATTGAAACAGAGTCTGGAGAATTCAGACTCAACCAGCACTCTGCAGATGACCGCAGCTGCCACACACGTGTGAAGAAGCTGGTGCAGAGTGTGAGGGGCCCGGCATCACGAGCTTTTCCTCCCCGCTGCCCGTCAGCAATCAGAACGGGACACTTTGGATGAAGGATGTTAAACCAGCCTAACCTCCTTTCAATGAGTTCTCCAATTCTTGGGTACATTTTGTTCAAAATGAGCTAGGAAGTCTTAACCAAAATATTCAGAAGGAAGCAGCTACCCTTTCCATATTGGAAGCGTTTAGTTACTTGAGATCATCCGAAACAGAGTTTGCAAACAAGACGATATCCAGAGTTCCCTCCAAAACATATTCCCTACAAAAACACAGGAGGAACCAAGCAATCAATATACTGTGAGCTTAACTGTACACAGGATTTATTTCTGAAATACTGTCACTGAATTTTGGAAGGTCTTGACTTTGGGAGAAATCTTTAGATGGCAATTCTGTTTTGACTGGGTAAATATATAGCCTATATTAGAATGCAGTAAAATGGAAAAGGACAAAAATTCTGTGCACCATACACTTGCTCAAAAACTTGAAAAGAATTATACAAGGAAGTGTTTTGCCATGCACAGAGCACAAGGTGTAAGAGGGGACTGTGACTGGAGGAATGTTTAGGCTGAAATATCTGTACATGTTAATGAAAAGCTTAGAACCAGGATGACCCTTTATTTCTCAGAACTGGATATGAGCTTACCAGGTCCCTCGGCCTCTGAGTTTTCTCTCTCTCTCTTTTTTTTTTTTTTTTTTTTTTTTTTTTTTTTTT